TTAGGTTGATTACATTTCTGCAGTGTGAATTGTACTGCAATGAAACATGCAAGTGCAGTCTCTTTTTTATAATGACCTCTGTTCCTTTGGGCAGATCTGTTTTACTATTTATCATATATGTATTGCAATTTGTCTTATTTGTCTTCTACTATACTGCTTCTTGAGAGCTAGGACTACTTTTTATTACTCTTTGAACCCCAAGTATAGTACTGTGTTCTATAAACAAATTCTTTTAATTGAGGTAAAATTAACATAAAATTAACCTCAACCATTTAAACGTGTGTAGCTGAGGGCATTTTTTAGTACAGCGTTCCAAGACCATAAATAATTTTCACTGAAAACATTTTTCAGCCCCAGATTAATCTTTCTAACTTGTATCTTCTCCATGGTTCATGTAGTTAAAAAAAAAATTGTGCCGGGCTCGGTGGCTCAGCCTGTAATCCCGCGCCTTTGGGAGGCTGAGGTGAGTGGATTGCCTTAGTCCGCGGGTTCGAGACCCGCCTGGGCAGCGAGACTTCATCTCTACAATAAATCAAAAATCAGCTGGGCATGGTAGCGCATGCCTGTAATTCCGGCTACTTGGAAGAAGGCTGAGGCGGAAGGATCGCCGGAGCCCAGCAGGTCGAGGCTGCGGTGGCCGGGAGCGGCCACTGCACTCCAGTCTGGATGACAGAGTGAGACTCCAACTCAAAAAAAAAAAAAATTTTTTTTCTGTCCACTACTTATATATCCAAAAGTCTAATATTCAAGCACTTCTTCCTAGATTACTGATTCTCTACATGTGCACACTAGGTCGGGTTAAGTATAATAAAGTTCGTAATAAATACAAAGGAAAAATTAAATTCAAGTTAAATGTCTGATGTATGTTCTTTGTCCCACACACCTTCAATTCTTGCAAGCTTCACAAGTCTTCCGGCAGGAAATTGTAGAAAGCAGATCCCAACTATAGGAAAGCTGAATACAGCTGATACCCTTTTGCCCTTTTAGTAGTCCCAGAGCGACAACTCAACGCAAGCGTCAAGAAATGGAGGGTGGGGTGTGGATCTGCAGTCTTTACAGTCTGCTCCCGTCCTCTCACCACCCAAAAGAAATGACACCACTCTAGGCTTCACAATCCGGAGCTTTCTAACTTCACCTGCTTAGGTAGGTAGGAATGAAGTCTTAACCCTCCAAAGACTTCCAAATTCCAAACACCCACTAAGCATGCATCCCCTGCACCAGGGTTTCTCAATGTGCAGACCACGGACACCTGCAGAATCACGGAAAGTGGCTGTTGGAATCGCGACCTTCCCGGGGCCCCCCTAGAATCTCGGAGTCCGCATACCTAAGAGTGTGGCTCCGAGGTCTGCGGTGTGTATCCGCACCCCCGGTGGCTCTGGGCTTTGGCGCGTAAAAGTTAGAGACGGTGGTGCACCGCCTCCCCCCAGGGGGCGGGGCGCAGCGAAGCGCCAAGCTCCGGCCGCCGGCGCCGGCTGAGGCCCAAGGCACGCAAGCCTGCAGCATAGATGGCCAAGTCTCGTGCGCGTGCCCGCACCGCGGGAACTAGGCCCTCCACGCCGCCGGCTGCGTTCTGTGCGCATGCGCACCGTGCATTCTCGCGCGGCCGCGCCTCCAGCTGCCCTGGTTACCGTTGGTGTTTGCGAATTCTCTGCCGCGCCTTCTTCGCCTGAGACCTGCGCCGCCGGGCTCCAGCGGCGGTTCCTTACGCGCGGGCTCGCGTCACGTGGGTCGAGGTTCCCCTGCGGTTGCCGGCGGGCGGCTGGGCCGGGAGGCAGGAGCTGCAGCCACAGCTCGCCCTCCCTCTGCGCCCCAGGGCGGTCGCGCGGGTAAAAATGGCGAAATGGGGGTAGTCGGCGCCGAACCTGAAGCGATGGGGCGCGCAGGTGGGGCTGTTGCCAGAGGCCCCTGACGCGGGCGCCGGGCTGTTCTGGGCGATTTAACCTGGCGACCTCGGGCCGGCGCCTACGAGGTGAGACCGCAGGGTCCGCGGGTCTCCGGGGGCCCCGCCGAGAGCCGGAGGCAATGGATGAACAGAGCGTGGAGGTGAGGGGGGCCGTGGAGGGTGGTGGATGGTCCCCACCCCCACTCCGTGAGCGTTTTTTATCCGGGGCGCCGTGGCCTCGTCCTCTCTCCCGTAGGGCTCCCGGTCTCCGCCCCTATGGAGAGGGCTGGCGCGGTACGGAGGGCGCCGTGCTCCTTTTGGAGCCCTCCGCGTGTCTTGTACTCGCCCTGTTCCGCAGTCAGGTGGTGCGTTTTCAAGGATGTCCTGGCACCGGTTCTCATCCCCACCGGGTATTTGCAAAACAAAACTGCAGATTCATTAGATGGACGTGCCCTGCGACTCGCCACTAGTTCTTTCGAGTTCATGAGCTGATCCGGATCTCCCTCGGAATGGATAATCATCTTTACTTATCAGCGGTACATTTTGCAGGCTTCCGCCTTTCCTAGGTTGAATGAACATATCATCATACTCATTTGGCTATAGTTTCCAGAACAAACTATTCTCTCTCTTTTTTTTTTTGAGTCGGAGTCTCAGTCTCGCCCAGGCTGGAGTACAGTAGCACAGTCACGGCTCACGGCAGCCTCGATCTCGGGATCAGGCGAGCCTTCCTTCTCAGCGTCCCAAGTAACTGGGACTGCAGGTGCATGCCATCACGCCTGGCTAATTTTTTTGTTTTTTGTAGAGACAAGGTCTCACTATGTTGCCCAGGATGATCTCGACCTCTTGGGCTAAAGTAATCCTCCTGCCTCGGACTCCCAAAGTGCTGGTATTATAGGTGTAAACCACCAAGCCTGGCCAATTCTTTTTACATCTGACTCTTGTAAGCGTTGATTTCAGATTGTTGGGATATTTACATTAGCCTGGTGTGGTGGCTCAAGCCTGTAATCCCAGCACTATGGGAGGCCGAGGTGATAGGATTGCCTGAGTTCAGGGGTTCGAGACCAGCCCTGGCAGCTTGGTGAGATCTCGTCTCTACAATAAGTCAAAAAATTAGTCGGGTGTAGTGGCGGACGCTTGTAGTTCCAGCTACTTGGAAAGCTGAGGTGGAAGGATCGCCTGAGCCCAGCAGGTCGAGGCTGCGGTGGCTTTGAATGTGCCACTGCACTCAGCCTGGTCGACAGAGTGAGACTCCAACTAAAAAAAAAAAAAATAAAGACTAGGAACATTAAAGATGCTGTATATTGGCCATAATTATGTAAGCATTGTCAAATTTTGCACCTTTCTAATATTAAAATACACTAAATCCTTGCTTTTTAGTGAGGAGGAACTATGTTACTGGATACACCACTTGAAACTAGTTTATCCAGTAGTCTTATTGTCCACCCTGTAGCCTGTTACAGAGCCTGCATTTCACATGTTCTTGCTAGCCCTGCAGAGTCATGATTAGAATCATGAGTAATTTTCTCATGTGAAAGTATTATAAAGGTTTGGTAAACTTACCTTGTCTTTAAGTGGGCTTAATTTTTATGAAATGGAGTAAAAATAAATGTCACTACTGTAAAAATGAACTTAAAATATGCAATAACAACATTTAATTATTTTTTTCTTGTTATAACTTGTATGTTACTTCCTAGATTGATTAAACTGAGACTTATAATACTGTTTTTTCTATTTGTGTAATTTTTTTTTCTTCCAAGGCCTTATTGAACTGCCACCAAAATTGTCAATTGAGGTTGAATCTCAGGCTTAGATAAGTAGCTAGTTGGTTGCCACGTCAGGCAGAAATTCAGATTTTTGAATTCTGACTTTTTTTCCCTGCCCCCACCCTGGATTCTGACTTTTGAATCACATAACCTGCCATTAGGCTTAAGTGTCTTCTTAAAACTTTTTTTCCTCTAAATTGTAAAGGTAGTTTATCCTCCTTGGGGAAATTGCAGAAAAAGTAAAAAGTTTATATTGTGCATTCAAGTCATATAGTCTGACATTTTTCTTACTGTTATACGTCATAAGTATTTTTCTTTTTTCTTTCCTTTTTTTTTTGAGATAGAGTCTCACTCTGTCACATTTTATAGAGTGCAGTGGTGTGATCATAGCTTACTGCAGACTCAACTCTGGGCTCAAGCAGTCTAGTCCTTCTGTCACAGCCTTCTGAGAGACTAGGGCTATATGCACATGCCACCACACCCAGATATTTATTTATTTATTTTTATGTCAAGATGTAGTCTTGCTATTTTTATTTTATTTTATTTGGAGTGTCACTCTGTTGCCCAGGCTGGAGTGCAGTGGCACATTCATGGCCACCGCAGCCTCAACCTGCTGGGCTCACGCGAGCCTTCCACTTCAGCCTTCCAAGTAGCTGGAACTACGCCTGGCTAATTTTTTTTTTATTGTAGTGATGAGGTCTGGCCAAGTTGCCCAGTCTGGTCTCGAACTCATGGGCTCAGGCAATCATCTCACCTCGGCCTCCCAGAGTGCTGGGATTACAGGTGTGAGCCACCGTGCCCATTTAGTCTTACTGTGTTGTCCAGACTGGTCTTGACCTCCTGGCCTCAAGTGGAATTTTAATATATTTGTAACTTTAAACACGTTTGTAGTGTTAAATTCCTCTGCCTCAGCCTCCCAAAGCACTGGGATTACAGGCTGAGCCACTGTGTCTGGCCTTCATAAGTATTTTTCTTTTTTTTGAGTTGGAGTCTCACTCTGTTGCCCAGACTGGAGTGCAGTGGCCGCTCCCGGCCACCGCAGCCTCGACGTGCTGGGCTCCGGCGAACGTTCCGCATCAGCCTTCCGAGTAGCCGGAATTACAGGCGCGCGCCACCATGCCCGGCTAATTTTTTGATTTTATTGTAGAGATGAGGTCTTGCTGCCCAGGCGGGTCTCGAACCCACAGGCTCAGGCAATCCACTCACCTCAGCCTCCCAAAGGCGCAGTATTACAGGCTGAGCCACCGAGCCCGGCTCATAAGTATTCTTCTATATCATTAAATCAAGAACTATTTCTAGTGACTGTAACACAGTCTATGTGTAACCCATAATTTACTTAATATTTGGACATTTGGGCTATTGCTAGGTTCTTGCCATTAAAATTAATGCTTTAGTGAAAATGTTTGTGCAAAAATCTATGTTTGCATTTTGTATCTTAGAGTAATCATACAGCTTGGAAAAAAGGAAGCACATTTTCCAGATGTTCTGAGTTACTCTAGATCGTGACTAACCAAGTCCTGTTATGGAATGTGTAGTTAAAACAGATATTATCAGCCCAAGATAAACGTATGTGTCAAATGAATTATTTTTAGTATGCATTTTACTCTTGATTCATTCGCCTAATCTGGTGGACCTAACATATTTATTTTTCAGAGCATTGCTGAGGTTTTCCGATGTTTCATTTGTATGGAGAAATTGCGGGATGCACGCTTGTGTCCTCATTGCTCCAAGCTTTGTTGTTTCAGCTGTATTAGGGTAAGTTGTATTTCTTTTTACATGCATTTAGTATATATAGGATATATTGTAAGGATTAACCATTTCTCTTTTATTTTTCTTAATTTACATTTTGTGCCCCTTTGTTAAGTGTCTTTTAAATGAATATTCCTTAATAGTGAGACCATCAATTTGTATTGTTTACTAATCTGGAGATGAATAAATATCAAGTAACTGTCATGAAGCATCTGTCAAGCTAGGTGCCTCTGGAAACAAAGCCCACTGTAATTTAAATATATTTGTATTGTTAAATTCACTCTGTATTTGACACATACTTATAAAGTGCTTGCCTGTGTTGTGCCTGGGGTTGAGGGATGCTAAGAAGAATGACAAAGTGCCAGCCTCGAAGGAGTTCAAATCCAGTTGAGGGAATGGACTTTAGAATGCTTATAGTAAAGAATGTGGAGAGGCACTGAAAAAAAAAAATGCCATGGGGCTCTGAAGAGTGAGCGTTTATGTGTATTTGACAAGTAAGATGGAGAAAAAGTGGGTAATCTTATAGTCACAGGAGACCCTAGAGATGAATATAATCTAATGACTTTCAAACTTGAATGTGGATGAACTCTTCAAACAAAATTATGAAGAGTCCAACATGTAAAACAGAAGAACTTATTTTGGTTGTATGTGGGGTCAGGGGTCCAGTAGCACATCTGCAGAGCATAGTTGAAAACATTACTCTTAAATTATTTCCTTTACTGAGAAAATCAAAGCCATCTAACATACCCTTCAACTCAAAATTTGTTTTCTCATTCTTTTTAAAAAAATTTTTTTCAGCTACCACCATAGTGCCCTGATTCTTGCCTAAGGAAGATAAATAGCCCTTTGTCAAGAGTAATATCTGTAATACTTCTTTTCTCCCAGTCACATAGCTGAAACTATTTAAATGATTTTTTTCTTACTCCATTTCTTTGTAGCCTCACTTTCCATTTACTCTTTGGCCCATCCTATCTTGGCTTTGGTTTTGTTCACACACACAGGTCTTGCCAAGTAATAAACTCAGTTTTGCTAAATCCACTGAATACTTCTATTTTTTTAAAAAAATTGAGATTGAGTCTCACTGTATTGCCCAGGCTGGTCTTAAACTCCTGGATTCAAGTGATCCACTCATTGTGGCCTCCCAAAGTGCTGGAATTTACAGGAATGAGTCACCCAGCCCAGTCCAGTAAGCACTTTTTAGCCTTATCTTTCTCTGAGTATTCAGCAGAAATGACTTCGCCAGTCCTTGAAACGTTTTCTTCTTTGGCTTCTTTGATTTAACAATCCTTTGATTTTCCTTCCACAGCTTTCTCTGTTTCCTCACCTCTAAATATTGAAATGTCCCAGAGCTGGGTCCTGAGCTCTTTTCTTTTAATAATAGTTGTATTGTCTTCATTGTCTATGGCTTTAAATACTACCTCTAGATTCATAATTCTAAAATTTATTGTTTTAACACTGCCCTCTCCTGCCTTCAGTATTTACTATCTCCATTTGGATTTGTGGACATCTCAATTTACATCTTTCTAAGTGATTTTTGATTTATCACCCCAAATCTCTTTCTTTTCCAGTCATCATTATCTTGGAATGCAGTTTTTTATCCTGAAACTTTGATGTTAACCTTAATCTTCCTTTTTCCTCACTTCTAGTAGTAAGTGAACTATGAATGTTAGCAGCCAGTTTTTATTTTTTATTATTATTATTTTTTATTTTATTATTTTTATTATTATTTTCAGCCCTAGTTTCACTCTGTCACCCAGGCCAGAGTACACAGCCCCCGCAGCCTCGACCTGCTGGGCTTAGGTGATCCTTTCACCTTAACTATCCAAGTAGCTGGAACCACAGGTGCACGCCACCACACCTGGCTAATTATTTTGATTTATTGTAGAGATGAGGTGTTTTCAAATTGCCCAGGCTGGTTTTGAATTTCTGGGCTCAGGCAATCCTCTTACCTCTGCCTCCCAGAGTGTTGGGATTACAGGCATGAACCACTGCACCTAGTCGTTTTTTAAAAAAGATTGTTTTGAACACTTAGTATATGCTAACTGCTTGTCTCTAATCCTTACAGCAGTTTTGCAGAGTAGATATGTTGATTCTCTTGTTAGATATGAGGAAACATGAACTCAGTCACTTGTCCAATGTCATGTAGTCAGTAAATAGTAAGTGCCAGAACTGGAAATCAGACTTAGATCTGAAAACTTTCTAAAGCTTGTGATTCTTCCAATTTAATGAACAAGAGAAATTACTTTTTAAATTGAATGTGGGAGAATTGCTCTAAAGATGTTTCCTTAATATTACTTATGCATTAATATTGTATAAAGTAATGTTCTTACTTTTGATTTTGGTTTGGGAGGAACATTGTTTTTTCCAAAGTAATAAAATTGCCATATTTATTTTATGATTAAATTAGATTGTGGCATACAAGGTAAAAATGCCACACATATTCAGAGAAGAAAAAGCTCACTGTAGCCTTGGAAAGGCCAGGAAAGTTTTACAGACATAATCAGCAGACATTCTCACAGGACAGGACATAAAGGAAGGGACCATATAAACAAATATACAAATATCTTGTCAATAGTATTATATACTATAGCAATAAGGCTTTTTTGACTGGGAGGGAGGAGTGTATTTAAAAATACGATCTGGTCACTCCCTATCATGGTCCCAGTCTTTTATAAAATTCATTATCTAGTGAGGAGAGGAGACCAACAAATAAGTTATCATAATAACATGTTATTAACATAGTGAGGGGAAATATAGATTCCTGTAGTGGAGCATGACGGTGGTATCTAAAATAGTCTGCAGAGTGTCAGGGAAAGCTTTTTGCAGGAAGTGACATATAAACTGAAATGTAAACAATGAGTAGGAGTAACCCAGATGAAGATAGTTATTGAAGAATATCCTGGGCAGAGAGAAGAAACATAATTTGTCTGTCTATCTATCTATCTATCTATCTATCTATCTATCTATCTATCTATCTATCTATCTATCTAATCTGTTTACTTTTTGAGTTGGAGTCTCACTGTCATCCAGGCTGGAGTGCAGTAGCACACTTACAGCCACTGCAGCCTTGACCTGTTGGGTTCAGGGAATCCTTCCACCTCAGCCTTCTAAGTTAGCTGGAACTACAGGCGTGGGCCTGCATCTGGCTAATTTTTTGGTTTATTGTAGAAATGAGACCGTACCAAGGTACCCAGGCTTGTCTTGAACCTTTGGGCTCAGACGGTCCTCTTGCCTCCACCTCCCAAAGTGCTAGGATTACAGGGTGAGCCACCATGCCTGACAGAAGAAACGTATTTAAAGGCTTAACCTTGCTGCATCATAAGGCCAAGCTTGAGAGGTGTGAGTTGAGACCGGTTCTGGATGGGAGCTGTGACTTTAACAGAGGAGCAGTGTGCTCATAACTTTGTTTCAGTGAAATAAATCTGACCCAAATCTTGTTTTTGCCTAGGAACCAAGGAAATAATAATGTTCAAGGTTATTAAGAATGGAAGCATCCTTTTCATATGCTTTTTTTTTTTTATCCCTTCCAACTTTATTTTCTTTGCTGTGAAGTACTGTTTTCCTGCCTTTAAGATTTCTTTGGGAATTTTATTTCTGAGCTAATTATTTGACATCAGGTAAAAGCTCATATTCGTTTATAGAAGGAGAAAGGGATAAACAGAAATAATAGGTATTGAGAATACATTGGTGTAAGATTATATTATTTACCTCTGAACCCTAGGTGCGACACAATTAAAGCATAACATTTTAAACTACAAACCTGTTGTTTTCTGAAAAGTATTCAGAAATTTTAGCATCTCCTTTGTATGTGATATAAAATTGCTCCCAATTCAGTATTTGTTTACATTATTAAGTTAATAGAATTTGAAGTTTAGTGAGACATTTTTCTCTTCTAAAACCTTTTTGTAATTATGAGGAAAGCAAGGTGTCTAGATGTTTAAGTTATTGAACTACAGAACTTTGTTATTACTCTGAAAAAAGTTTTTGTTGTATTGTTTCATATTTTAGGTCCGATTTGTATGTTCATAATGCATATACCATAGAATTAGCTTGCTTAAAAAAATTTAGTAATATATTAATTAGAAGTAAATTATCACTGTGGTTAATTTTGGGGGTCAGAATGTCAATTTCATTATTATTATAAGATCATCTATACCTTCCCTGTGAGAATCAGTTAGTTCTAGAATCACTTCTTTTCTGTGAGAGAGTAGCCTCTTTTTTTTTTTTGAGTTGGAGTCTCACTCTGTCACCCAGACTGGAGTGCAGTGGCCATTCCTGGCCTCCGCAGCCTTGACTGCTGAGCTCCGGCGATCCTTCCGCCTCAGCCTTCCAAGTAGCTGGAACTACAGGCACGCGCTACCATGCCCAGCTAATTTTTTGATTTTATTGTAGAGATGAGGTCTCGCCAAGTAACCCAGGCGGGTCTCGTACCTGCGAGCTCAGGCAATCCAATCACCTCAGCCTCCCAAGGCGCGGGATTACAGGCTGAGCCACCGAGCCCGGCGAGAATAGCCTCTTAACAGCTATTTGGGGATGAAGTCTGTCCCTTTGAAAGTTTGTTTCGGGATGATGAGAGGAAGACTGTAGATTGTGTGTTATTTTATAACGTATCTCTAGAATTAATTCAGGTACTAGAAAGTTAAACTCATTGCATTTGTTTCTTAAGTATTCAGTATATACAAATTAAGGTAATGGTGTTTTACAATCAAAATCTAATTCTTTTGCTTCCTTAGCGCTGGCTGACAGAGCAGAGAGCTCAATGTCCTCATTGCCGGTAAGTGTTTTGCCACAATTATTTGTAAATTTGGAAAATAGTAAGGCAATGGGTTCAGAGTATGCTTTAGAATTCATAAAGGCAAGGTTTTTCTGCAATCTGCTACATTTCTCTTTGTGAATAGTTGAATGGAAAATAAATCAATAAGCAAGCCAGGTGCAGTGGCTCATTCCTGTAATCCCAGCACTTTGTGAGGCGGAGGCAAAAGGACTGCCTGAGCCCAGGGGTTTGAGACCAGCCTGGACAACTTGGCAAGACCTCATCTCTACAATAAATGAAAAAATTAGCTGGTATGGTGGTTTGTGCTGCTTGGAAGGCTGAGGTAGAAGGATTGTCTAAGCCCAGCAGGTCAAGGCTGTGGTAGCTGTGTGAGCATGCTGCTGCACTCCAACCTGGGCCAACTCAAAAAGAAAAAACTGAGATGCCAACTCAAAAAGAAAAAAGAAAAGCCAATAAGCAATAATTCAAAAAGAAATGCAGAGACTTGTGTATCGACTTAGAATCGTGTAAAATCTATTATAATAGAATCATGTAGAATCCATGATAATGTTTGCTGTGTTGTGCCCCTGCTTCTTTTAGATAATCATTGTGTAACTTCTTAGCTTTATAATTTAGAATTTTGAAATGTTTTAAAAATCCAGATAGTAGAAGTAAATATACAATAAAAAGTTTTCTGATTCTTATATTCCCTACCGTATCTTTTCATAAAATGACACTTTCAGAAGAAATTGTTACGTTTGGTATCTGTTGTTTATTTTTTTTTGTGTGTATGTTTTTAAAGGCTCTAACTCAATATGATTGTGCATATATTGATATGTATATATACTTTTTCTTAAATCACACAAGTGATATAGTGTTTGCAATTTGCTTTTTTAATGTAAAAATATGGTAGATAATCTTTTCTTGATGGTATGTATACATATGCCATTGTTTAAAAAGTTGTTTAAAAAGTTGTTATAATCCATAATATGACTATACATTGATGTATTTGTTCTCATCTTGAGAGACATTTAGGTTGTTTCTACTTTTGGTTATTTCAAATAATGATGCCAGAGTGCCATCTTTTGCTTATTTTTCTTCTTTTATATATATTTTTGTATATATATAAAAGAAAAAAATATATATTTTATAGACCTTTTATATATTTTTATATATATAAGAGAAAAATATATATGTATATTTTTATAGACTGTAGAGACAAGGTCTTGCTGTGTTGCCCAGGCTGGTCTTAAACTCCTGGGCTCAAGCAATCTTCCCATGTCGCCTTCCTAAAGTGCTTGTATTATAAGTGTGAGCCATCATGCCCGGCCCCCGTTTTTCTTTTTGTATTGTTCTACTTTTCTTACATTAACTTGGTTTATTTTCCATTCAACTAACTTGTAAGAAAGACCAGCAATATCAATATCAAGTAAAACTTTCTTTTTTTTTTTTTGGAGTTGGAGTCTCACTCGGTCACCCAGACTGGAGTGCAGTGGCCGCTCCTGGCCACCACAGCCTTGCCTGCTGGGCTCCGGGGATCTTTCCGGCTCAGCCTTCCGAGTAGCCGGAATTACAGGCATGTGCTACCACGCCCGGCTAGTTTTTTTGATTTATTGTAGAGATGAGGTCTCGCCAAGTTGCCCAGGCGGGTCTCGAACCCGTGGGCTCAGGCAGTCCACTCACCTCAGCCTCCCAAAGCTTTCTATAATGATGGAAATGGTCTATATCTGTTCAGTGTGATAATCACTAGCCATGTGTGACTGTTGATCATGTGAAATGTGTCTGGTGAGATTTTATTTTATTTTCATTTTTGTTTTGAGTAGGAGTCTCACTCTGTCACCCAGACTGGAGTGCAGTGGCATGCTCATGGCCACCACAGCCTTGACTTGCTGGACTCAGGTGATCCTTCTGCCTTCCAAGTAGCTGAAACCACAGATACAAATTACTATGCCTGGCTAATTTTTTTTTTTTTGATTTACTGTAGAGATGAGGTCTTGCAAAGTTGCCCAGGCTGGTCTCGAATCCCTGGACTCAGACAGTCCTCTTGCCTTCGCCTCCCAAAGTGCTGGGATTACAGGCGTGAGCCACCGTCCCCAGCTGAAAGTTTATTTTTATTTAATTTAAACTAATTTGTTTTTTTTCTTTTTCCAACTCTGTTTTTTTAAATGTTGAATTTTAATTTAAATAGTCACAAGTGGTTAGTGGTTTTCATTTTGGACAGTAGGCTTTAGACTAAGGAGTTAAGAATTCAGCTTGTATTCTAAATTGTCTGCAATTTTTTGTTTAGGCTTTTGGTTGTTTTGGTGAAGTATTGTCATGAAAATAAGTTGCATAGGGTACTTTTCATTGTGTTTTTGTTTTTCTTTTAATAGTGTTATGTATGAATATGATTGTGAGCTCTATTTTGAGAAATGTGTTTATTTTAGGAAATAATCTCAAATTCCTGCGTTAGAATATATGTATGGATTTTCTCCCCAGTGCTCCACTCCAGCTACGGGAACTAGTAAATTGTCGTTGGGCGGAAGAAGTAACACAACAACTTGATACTCTTCAACTCTGCAGTCTTACTAAGCATGAAGAAAATGAAAAGGACAAGTATGTACTCAATTTCTTTGTTCAGTATTTAATAGATTTTCCTTGCGTTGTTTTAATGACACTATAATTCCCTTTTAGTTGTTTATAAGTAAGTAGACTAGTAATTCTTAAGTTTTAATTCTTTCATTTGTCTGATGTTCCTATTAGGTGATATTTATAATGATTCATTCTTCTTTTTTGAGTCAGAGCATTACTCTGTCACCCAGGCTGGATGGAGTGCAGCAGCACAATCATGGCCACTGCAGCCTTGACCTGCTTGGGCTGTGGTAATCCTTCTACCTCAACCTTCCAAGTAGCTGGAACTACAGGCATATGCCACCACGCCTGACTAAGTTTTTGGTTTATTGTAGAGTTGAGATCTTACCATGTTGCCCAGGCTGGTCTGAAACTCCTGGGCTCAGGCAATCCTTTCACCTTTGCCTCTGAAAATGCTGGGATTATAGGCACGAGCCACTGAGCCTGGTCAGTCCTCATTTTATTGTTTATTTAACACTTATCTCATGCTGTGTATACACAGCACATATACACACGTATACACACATACTTTGCTAGATTATGTGGATACAAAAGCAAATGAGATAGTTTCTGCGTAACTTTTTAATGGAGACATGATGATAATATAGTGTTAAGTAACAAGGTCTTGCTGTGTTGCCCAGGCTAGTTTTAAGGGACAAGAATGAATAAATGGTCTTATGTTCCGTGATTGAAGAATTGTGTGTGTGTGTGTGTTTGAGTTGGAGTCTCACTTTGTCACCCAGGCTAGAGTGCCAGTGGCATGCTCACAGGTACTGCAGCTTTGACCTGGGCTCAGGTGATCCTTTTGCCTCTGCCTTCCCAGTAGCTAGAACTACAGGCACACGCCACCACGCCTGGTTACTTTTTTTTGATTTATTGCAGAGACAAGATCTTGCCAAGTTGCCCAAGCTGATCTCGAATCCCTGGACTCAAGCAATCCTCTTGCTTCCGCCTCCCAAAGTGCTGGGATTATAGCCATGAGCCATCAAGCCTGACCCTTGATTGAAGAATTTTGATAATATCTAGAGGGTTGTTATGGGGAGCAGATAAAAGAACAATGTTTTTGGGCATGGTAGCTCATGCCTGTAATTCCAGCACTTTGGGAAATCAAGGTGGGAGAATCACTTGAGGCCCGGAGTTTAAGACCAGCCTGGGCAACATAGCAAGACCCTGTCTCTACAAAAAAAAAAAAATTAGCCAGGCTTAGTGGTGTGCACCTATAGTCCCAGTTACTCCAGAGGCTGAGATGAAAGGTTTGCTTGAGCCTGGGAATTTGAGGTTGCAGTGAGCTACAATTTCCCCACTGTACTCTAGCCTGGGTGTCACAGTGAGACCTGCATCTCTTAAAAAAAGAAGAAAAAGTAATATAGAGATAATTTTTTCTTACACATAAGGAAACGACAGCATGGTTAATTGCAAGGTGTCACTGTCCAGAAATAATAAAATACTTGAATTAGAGATTGTAGGACCCCCTCGGTTTTTTTTTGTTCAGAGTCTCACTTGTTGCCCAGTCTGGAGTGCAGTGACTCTCACACCCACTACAGCATTGACCTGCTGAGCTCAAGTGATCTTTCTGCCTCAGCCTTCCAAGTAGCTGTAACTACAGGCATGTTTCACCACACCCAGCTAATTTTTTGATTTATTGTAGAAATGAGGTCTCACCACGTTGCCCAGGTTGGTCTCAAACCCCTGGGCTCAGGCAGTCTTTTTGCCTCTACCTCTCAAAGGCTGGGATTATAGGCATGAGCCACCGTGCCTGACTTCTAGGACTCTTGAATGTTTAGAAATAAAGCCATATCACTTTATATAGATTCACAATATATTAAAGTAAGAGGTTGAAACTTGAAGGGTCATTAGAAAAAGCTTTACCTCTTTCTTTATTATACTGAAGGAGTATAATCATAGAAATGAAAGAGCATTGGGCATGGAAGAATCTTTTGAGTCCAGGAGTTTGAGTCTAGTCTGGGCAACATAGTGAGACCCCCATCTGTTTATTTTTTAAAAAAAAGAAAACACATTAATGTATAATCAGTCAAAACCTAGTGTTTCCTCTACTATATTAAACTGGATTTTATTTTTTTTGAGTCAGTGTTTCACTCTGTTGCCTAGGCTGGAATGCAGTGGCTTGCTCACGGCCACCCCAGCATCGATCCCCTGGGTTCAGGTGATTCTTCTGCCTCAGCCTTCCAAGAAGCTGGAAGACAGGCACATGCTACTACACCCAGCTAATTTTTTGATATATTGTAGAGACGAGATCTCACCAAATTGCCCAGGCTGGTCTCGAACCTCTGGGCTCAGGCAATCCTCTCACCTCGGCCTTCCAAAGTGCTGGGATTACAGGCTTGAGCCACCGTGCCTGGCCTAAACTGGACCCTTTTTTTTTTTTGAGTTGGAGTCTCACTCTGCTGCCCAGGCTGGAGTGCAGTGGCATGCTCATAGCCACTCCAGCGTTGACCTGCTGGGCTCAGACCATCCTTCTACCTCAGCCTCCCAAGTAGCTGGGACTATAGGCACGCGTCACCATGTCCACCTAATTTTTTTGATTTATTATAGAGAGGAGGTCTCAGGATATTGCCCAGGCTGGTCTTGAACCCCTGGGCTCAGGTAATTCTCTCACCTCCGCATCCCTGAGATGGCAGGTGTGAGCCACCACACCCAGTTATTAATTTTTTAAAAGTATTTCACCAATGGACACTAAGCTTAGGGAAAATACTTAAACAGGTCTACATGTTCTAGTTTTCATTGAGAAGTAATCTGCATATCAAATAGCTAATATTTGACATGTCAGTCATCTGAATATCAAATTAATAAAAGTTCAAAGACATGTATGAGATACTGTCTAGAAACTCAGTTAGCAAGATTTCTAAATAACAAATTTTTAAAGTAGTTTTTTACCATGTAAAAAATTTACCAGAACTCTGCCGGGCTCAGTGGCTCAGCCTGTAATCCCGTGTCTTTGGGAGGCTGAGGTGAGTGGATTGCTTGAGCCCGCGGGTTCGAGACCCGCCTGGG